TTAGATTTAGAAGAAAATTCTGGGATACGCCACGCATTCGACCAAGACTCTTTCACGAATATCAATACCCGGTAATCAGCCTGATCGACCATTTGAGCGAAAAGTGTCAACCATAGCTTGTTTAATGAGAACATTTAGACCTCGAACTCACCCTCCTTCATAGGTATCAGCGAGAAAGTTGATACGACGCTGAAAATACCATTCTCTTTCAGCCGGCAACTTCAAAGCAAGATTTCGTTTCCATTGATCTCGGAGGTTTTTCCACATCACTTTCAGCCTACCAACTGCAATAAAATTCACTTTTGGCTTGGATTATTGTCTTCCAGGTATCTAACTTTGTCTTACTTTCTGACTCGAATCCATTGGCAGCCATCCGATCCGCGATCTCAATCCATGCACGCGTTTTACAATCTGTTCGTGTGTATTCAGGTGACCGGGTGTTCCAAATCGATTCGTGCTGCTTCACCAATTTGATGAGAAGAATCTTCGCCGGGTAGCTCATTGATAACAATCAATGTTCCCTTCGGGATTGCCTGATAACGCTTGATTTCAGTACGGTGGGAAAGTGAATTATTACGCATCGAAACGGTAGATCAAATGAGACATCGTGTCATCTATAAACCCTGAAACTGTATTTATTTGGAAGCCGTTATTACACCTTTCATTGTGGCAAGTACATTCTGTGACGGTGTAATATTTTGAATTGTGCTGCGGGCCACCCCGACCGTAGCCCGCGTGGCCTAATGGATAAGGCGTCTGACTTCTAATCAGAAGATTGTCGGTTCGATCCCGGCCGTGGGCTGACATTTTGCAAATGAAAAGAAGTAGTGGGAACAATTAGTGTGTTCCTCACACACTCACTCCAAAGGCCTCAATTCGCAGTTCAGGTGATGTGAGGACGAAGACTTGTTGAAGGAGGTTAGTTCAATTGTTTGTGCAAAAATGCCAAATCAGGAAAATAAAATAAATAAAAATAAATAGCTCTACAGCGGAAGGGCAATAATGTACCAGATATTATGAAAGGGAGCAGTTTCCCAGATTAACACGAAATCGGCAAAGAACTGATTGTGAGCAATGGAGGAGTGAAATATATGCCCCCCCTCCCTAATTTCCCAGGAGTTGCAACTGCCAGCAAGAAATACATTCTTTCAAAAGGGATTTAGCAGAAGATACGCGTCGATTCGACGACCTCCCAACTTGCGAGTTGGCCCCTCCATTTTGCGGATCGAATACGCATTTGATTCCTTTTTCGGGGTCTCGCGCGCCCTTCGGGTACGGCGCCCAAAGTATGAACAATGCCCAAGCGTTAGGAACCAAAGACCTGAAGTTGCTCATTTGGCTCCACCCAGCGCCGCTGTCCCGCTCAAATATTGATCTCGTAGGCGATGCTCTCGTGGTACGGCTTGCTCACTTCGCCATTCTATTTGAAGGGGAGGGTTTCCAATAAAAGGGTCCAGGTTGCTAAAAGATCAACCAATCGACGGGACTTATACAATACGTCCAAAAGTACTCGATCCTACACTCATGACATCAAACATTAGCTACTAGCTAGCAATTGAAGCTATTTAATGCCCTTACTCAGCCTATCATGCCCCTAATAATGCACACTGAAATTCGCAATTGCGGATTTTCTTATTTTTTTTTAGCACAGAATCTTGTTCTGCTCGTCGCGCTTCCATCGCATCCTGGAAGAGAAAAACATTGCTCTGAAAGCTCTATTGGCCACGAAAAGCGTACACTTCAAGGAACGACAAGCCTTATGACAGTGACGAGCCTTTAATCTTCTCAAGAGTGATGTTTTGTTATGAATGAATTGACAAATTGTGTTTTTCCATGTTGACTAAGCACCATTACTGCGGAAATAACTAAAGATAGGGTTCTTTGGAAATATGGTCCTGTCCAGTGTCGACAGAAACAAGGGTCAGCGCTTACAAGGAGGAAGCTTCTCAAACGCCTGTTGGTCTAGCCAACCACATGGATACGGAGACGTAGCCTGGCTCTGAGGCTGAAAGCCTGGACAGGACTCGAATTAGTGACGATCCATGTGTCAGACCGGCGACACAGTTGCACTGAAGATGATAGCGATGGCGAAGCGATTTATTGCCCAGTATCCGAGGGAGCCCATGGAGTGCCCAGGAGGACCTGTAAGGGTTTTCGTTAATAAGATTGGACCTGATCTGACCCTTTTGGACATTCACAAGCTTCTTTGGGGCACCGAACGCTAGCGAATCGCACGGATCGTTAAAGCAACAGTCCAGGCAGGGTTTCAACCATTTGGTTTTCAAGTGGTGGAAACATGCCTCAGCCTGATTGGAGTTCATGGGAAATGTCACAAACTTCAAAACTTACCTCTGAAAGGCGTTGGAAGCAGTCGAAATCCTTCAAGAGGGGCGGATCCACCGATCCGTGGTGGGGCCGCCTCCAAGCAGCTGTGCAGAGCGCTTGCTCGACTAGCGGTCGTTGCGGGACCGCCGCGCTGTATGAGGTCGATTCCATAAGAACGCAATTGAAGCGCTTCAATTTCGATTGCTGGCAAATAGTTATGTATTTGCAAGCATGCATGGCTATTTGCCAGCAGTTGCAATTGGAGCGCATGTACTACGGACAACTCGTCTCAACACACGTAGAGGGGAGTTCCCGCCCTGCCGACGTTTTTTTCTTACTTTTCTTTCTCATTTGACCATCAAAAGCCGCGAATGGCGTTGCGCCCACCCACGCTACATGGCCAGTTATGTAACCTAGCCTAACAGAAAGAGGTGTTTTCACATTTGCTCTCCAATTTTCTTCTCTTTCATACTTTATTTTCCAAAATAAGGCTGGGTCATAAAAATGGAAAGTGTAATTTGATAATGCGTGTTTTATTCATCCTCTATTCGACTATTCTACGTGCCAGTCTTTCCTTTGGGAAGCATACATTATGGTTAGCCTCACTAAACTTGGCAGGGTTACAACAGGGTCAAGCGAGGCGTTGAGGAAAATTTGGAAATACGACCCCCCCCCCACCACCCTCCGCCGGAGGCCGAAGTCCATGAAACAACCCTCTTCAAAAGCCGAACTATGAAAAGGTTGAAAAGCTTGTTTAATTCTCCCCAAAACTGCTCATAAAAAAGCCCTGCTACCCCACCGCCACAAAAAAATTCGTTTAAGAAGTACAAAAGTGAAAAAGTCAAAGAATATCATTGATGAGTCCTACCAAACGAGCAAACGAGAAACAGACCAGAAAACGACAAACTAGCCACTAAAAATGGCATACCATGACAACATCTGTTCTTTATTTATTTCCTCCACAAGACTTACCAAATTCTAGTACTACACAGATTGTGGTTCTCAATTTGCACGTAGCCCTTCAGTTGAAAGAAGCTTTTTAACCGCCTTCGCCAGCTGTGTGTTGACTGGACTTTGGCGTTGACCGTGGAGCAGCTTATTTACTATTGAAATTTGAACAAATATTCAAATGATTATAACTTTCTTCAAATATGACGAATTTTCAATCTGAAAGCAGATTTGGAAGTTTTGTGAAGAGCTTTTTCTAATCAGTATAGAAATTACAAAAAGTTATAAGAAATAACAAATTTAGGTCAATTAACGAGGAAAATTCGAGATGAGCACGAGTTTTTACACTTTCCGAAGCAACAACTTGCTTCATTTTCGTCAAATTCGAAAAGTTAATATGGCAGACAAAACTAGAAGATTTTCTCTACCAAACCGTTGCTAAAGCAGCTCTATACGTCCAGTATTCAAAAAATGGCCACGTTGAGGATTTTTGCAAAATTAACGAGGAAAATTTGTGATGAGTGCGAGTTTTTTTACTTCCTAAAGCCATAACTCCGTTCAAACTCATCCAATCCGAAAAGTAAATACGCCATCATAAACTAGAAGATTTGCTCTATCAAACGCTTACTAGAACTGCTCCAAACGTCCAGTATTAAAAAAACGGCTACGTTGAGGATTTTCGCACGAGTACCGCCGAAAGGTACTTTTTCGCTACATTGGCACTATTTCAACGGCTAATCTTTTAAGGGCGATTATGTACTAAAGTAAGAGCAGATAATCATCCTTTTCTGAGAAAAGTTATTAGTAAAGGTTACATGTTTATAAATTTAACCCTGAAGAGTCCGTTAACGCAATTGAATGGTGTACACCTCCCTGTAAATGCGCACGGACACTTTCAGAATTCTCTCGATTGTTCCTGAATTGAGGTTGTTTGTCCAAGGAGCCGTAGTTGAAGCGCGCGCAACAACTAGACCCTTTCTCGGATGCGCCGTGTACCTCACATCCCTTCAGATTCGGGGTCTTACTTGAAAGATGAAATATCTCTTGGAAAGCGTGCGAAATTCAGATTCTTTAACTTGTGTGGTGATAAAACACTGAAGTAACTAAGAATTACCGGACGCCTCAGAATCACGAAAATTTTGTGTGGGTGAAATATCATTTTCATCAATAACTTCGTATAAAAATATCATTTTCATTATTACGAAATCCTCTGGCCTGGCATCGACTCATCCTTGATATTTGTCTTCCGACGGTGATGATCCCACTGCATCAAAATGGCTCGATCTCTTCCACCCAGCGGGCCAATACGACCCCCCCCCCCTGCGACGTGTCGAGGATTCCTCAACGCACGCTTGACCCTGGTGTGTACATCATTTTTTTAAGTTATATACTTGCGAAATCCCCCTGTCCCCTCCACCACCATCAGTTGCTTTGTAGCACTGGACGCTCGGTCTCTCAATAAAGCGTTGATCCCCGCTTTTCCCGGGAATTCTCCGGACTAGACCGACGCCACCACCTCACCAGTAGGTGTTTGATTTCTGAGGAAGTTTACAGCAGCCGAACTAAAATCTCCGTCCACCTCTTTGTCTTCAACAGTAGTCGACAGGCGGCGGGATGGGAGGGGTGGTGCGTAGGGGATAGGGGGCGATAAATCGTTGGTATCGTTAAGCGGCAAATCCACCAACTTGCCCGACTCTCAGTACTTTATTAAAACTTCCACCAAAAGCTTAAAAGAAAACCTTCCAAACACAACCCCCTTTAACAACCTCCCTTACACCATCCGTCAGCGTAATAGTCTACTTGTTCAACCCCAAAATGCAGGAAAACCGCGTTCCGAAAACTATAGATAAACCAGGGGTCCCAAGTTTACATAAAATTGGTCTCAAGAAGTTACGGGCAGTGAAACCTAAGAAAACTCGCGTTTTCGAGAAAATGGCTTGAAGAATACCCCTCAAAATAAAAAGTAACAACGGGACTAATTTTTGAACTGCTGATCTTTCAGGAACGCTTGGGTGCTCGTTAGAAAGCTTGAATCCTGTAGTTTATTATACGTGTTCAGCTTCCCAAATGAATGACTTTGAAGGAAGTTATGATCGTTTGAAGGTCAAAAAGTCGCCTTGCACAGAAAAAAGTAACAACGTACAAAATTTTTACTAAATTGAACTTCCGAAGAATTTTTACCCATGGTTGGATAGAAATAATTTGAATTTTCCAAATCAAATCACTTCG